AACATTACCGATAATATTACCTTGAGGCGGACATTTTAAGATCACAGTAAGATTACTGTAATATTACAACGTTATATTACGAATCTTACATGTAATATTACCTTGATATTGAGGTTATATTACGTGCTTCTTGGGAAATGTAACCCTTCTCATTTTGTTTAATATAAATTTAATTAATAATTAATTAAAATTTTTAAAAAACTATGGTATATTTTTATTTTTTTATTATTTTTATTATTGTATTTATATATTTTTTAAATTATTTTTTTATTACTTTATTATTATTTTATTATTATAATTATATTATTATTATAATATTATTATTAATTATAATTAATAATGCCAAATACTCCGATATTACTAAAATGGCTTGTAAAAGCAGGACCAAGTTAGGACCAAATTAGGAAATATTAACATTTTCTGCCAAGTTAAGACCAGCTTAGGGCCAATTATCATTTTAGGCATACCTTGGGGATTTCTACTCGGGCAATGTTGGCCAACACAGTAAAAAAAATTGGGAGTTAGCGAAAAGAATTGGTGGTAACTTAAGCTGAATTCGGTTTGGCGAAAAAACTGAATTGGAACGTTACGGTGAATTATTTTTTTCTTACCGTGAATTCTTTTTTGTTGAACATTTGATTTGACGTTTGTTTATTTGAGTTTGCATTATAAATAAATAGAGTAAATGTTTCGAAGTGTAAAAAAGCCGATTTGGACTAAGAAATATATAATTTTTTAAAAAGAAATTTTTTTTACACTTCGAAACATTTATATTATTTATTATTTATAATGAAAACTCGAATAAACAAACGTCAATTTAAATGTTCAAGAGAAAAGAATTTACGATAAGAAAAAAAATAATTCACCGTAACGTTCCAATTCGGTTTTTTCGACAAACTTAATTCAGCTTAAGTTACCACCAATTCTTTTCGCTTACTCCCAATTTTTTTTACTGGGAATATAAAGTATATATACAAGTTTTTTTTAGTAGCCGTTCCACTTCTGTGAGGAAAAGTGTTATACCCCTATACTCTACCGGACTGGGCCTATTTTAGGATCTCGCATAAGGCAGACATTGCGGCAGGCCTGAGTGGCATTATCGGGCATAGCCATTGGTAAATAAAGTATGGGTTTATCACTTCCACACACGGGAATTAAACGGTCATCACCTATGTCACGTATACAATAATAGAAAACAAATTTCCCTCAACCCAAGGCTGTGTGGATAAAACGGGCGATCAGGGATTGCGTCCTGTAAAGGGAACTGGTGTACTCCTGCTCTACAGGCTTGACCTGAGCTTGGACCTAAGTAAGTCAATTACAGCGAGGGCCTGTGTGGCGTTCTCAGGCTTAACGACAATATTATTTTATAACTCTCAATGAGTTTTTCATCCAAATTTTTAAATATAAACATTTTTTAATTTCTTTTGACATATTTCCCAGAATTTCACGATTACGAGCATATGTTGTGCCAAATGTAAATGTTAATATTTAAAAGTTTTATAATTTTGGTACAATAAACCTATACGATGTGTTTTAAACCAATTTAACCCAAAGGTGCTATTAAAAAGTTTTCTTTCAAAACCAAACCAAGTTTTCAAAACCAAATATTTTCTACTTCATTTTAATTCTCCAGTATAAGCACATGGTTATAACTCGGGCGCGGCTGGTAGAAACCCTCGAGAACCCTCATTATCAAATACATAATCTAATAATAACGAGAAATTTTATGTGCTAAGAAAATGTGAATGAATGAAGGAATGAATACAAAGATTATTATAATCTAATAACACAGCCCCACAAAAAAAAGTGTCATTTACTTTTGACCGGAATACCCTAACCCTATGTATTTTGACGCGCTGAACACGAATCCGAAGTCCGTTTTGCTCTATCACGTCAGGATTTTTTTCTAACCTCAAAAAACATGTCGGATTTTGAGAAGTAGGCGATTTTTTTAAAAATTGATGTATTAACTTCAAACTTGGTATCTGGGGGTTTTTCGTGTCGCTGATTACGAATCTGAAGTTAGATTTTCAAAATCAAAAATGGCGGATCCAATATGGCGGACGAATTTTGAAAAAATTTTAAGATTTACTTCAAACTTGGTATCTAGGGGTTTTTTGGGTCGCTGATTACGAATCTGAAGTTAGATTTTCAAAATCAAAAATGGCGGATCCAATATGGCGGACGAATTTGAAAAAATTTTAAGATTTACTTCAAACTTGGTATCTAGGGGTTTTTTGGGTCGCTGATTACGAATCTGATGTCAGTTTTCAAAAATTGATAATGGCGTATCTAATGTGGCCGATAGAAGTCCATGTTGGATATGCCATTTTGAATTTTTGAAATCTGACATCAGATTTGTAATCAGTGACCCAAAAAACCCCCAGATACACTATTGCACATTAATTTTTGAAAAATTTCGTAAAATAATGTCCCCCTACCAAAAAAAAATTCAAGGTGTATTTTCCCCCCATAAATCAGCTTTTGGGGAAAAACAAAACATACATGTCAAATTGTTTTCAAAAAACTACAAAACTGCCATGTTTCAGAAAAATCGGCGTATGGCACTTCCCTAGTGTTACTTGTCAGCAACTTAGAAAACCTGTAGATACCAAATTTCATAATAATCTGACAATTTTTTAAAAATAATTCCTTAATATTGAATCAGACATATCGAATTTCGGAAATCTGACATCAGATTCGTAATCAGCGACCCAAAAAACCCCTAGATACCAAGTTTGAAGTAAATCTTAAAATTTTTTCAAAATTCGTCCGCCATATTGGATCCGCCATTTTTGATTTTGAAAATCTAACTTCAGATTCGTAATCAGCGACACAAAAAACCCCCAGATACCAAGTTTGAAGTTAATACATCAATTTTTAAAAAAATCGCCTACTTCTCAAAATCCGACATGTTTTTTGAGGTTAGAAAAAAATCCTGACGTGATAGAGCAAAACGGACTTCGGATTCGTGTTCAGCGCGTCAAAATACATAGGGTTAGGGTATTCCGGTCAAAAGTACATGACACTTTTTTTTTGTGGGGCTGTGTAATAATAATAATTTATATAAAAGATATGCTACTTTTAAAAATTGTAAAAATAAAAATTTTTTAAATTATTCATTTCTTAATAGATTCACTGAAAAAATTTAAAGAATGATGCTGTCTTTAAAAGAAAGAGCAACGCTCTATTTCGAGGGTTATCTGTTGCTCGAATAAGGGCGAGCTGCTGCTCTTTGAGAGTAGCTGATGTCCTTTTTTTAGGGGCACTTGCCATAATATGTCAAAGTACAGCAGTTGCTCGCTAAAAGAAGTAGCAGTTCGCTTTTTTGAGGATAGCAGCTCTCTTTGTGGCGGAGTAAGCTGCCCTCTCGCGTAAAATACAACAACTCTCTCTACAAATTTTAGAAAATTTTTTCAAAAATTACAAGTTAAAACTGAGATATAGCCAAAAAACTTTTTTTTAGGGTTAAAAAATCGATATAACTATTATTGTAACCAATTGCTTTCAAACTTAATTCAGGGGTATTTTTAGGATCTGCGATTAAGATTTTCACGTCAAACTAATATAATTGAAATTCAAAGTCTCTGGTTCAAAAATTTGAAAATCAAATAATCAAGTAATAACACAGAAAATTAAAAGGCATTAAAATAAGCTGCAACGCTTATTATTTTAATCCAATTTTGCTTATTTTAATCCATTTTGGTAATAAAATAAGCAAAATTGAATTAAAATAATAAGCGTTGCAGCTTATTTTAATACCTTATAATTTTCTGTGAAGTAATTGTAATAATTGAATTTATGCGTCCCAAATGATTTTGTTTGTACAAATCTGTAATTATAAATTACAGATTTGTACCCACACAAAAGCAAAAATTTGACGAATATTATTGAAGAGTCATAGAAAATGAAGTATTTTATCGTTTATAGTCATAGTATTCTTTTGAGTGTCTATATTTTTGTGATCGGATATTCGATTAGATTTTGGTGCTGTGTGGGTGAGATGTATAATCGGTTACCTCTACCTGGTGCATCTTGGAAACAATATCATTGGAATGTTTAAATTTAATAAAAAAATTTAATTTGGTATAATTAAGTTTAAATCGGAATTTAAGTTTGAGGAAGATATAAGTTTTTATTGACTTTAGTTAATTAACAATAAAATATTTAGTTAAGATGGTAAATAGGTGTCCCCTATTAATCATTTCATTAACCTAATCATATCTGGTAAGGTAAAAATTTAATTGACCAACAGTCAAATTTTTATGTACGAAAATGTGAATGAATTCTGAGCAATTTACAGATGGTCCTGGTGTAAGTACTGTGTAAATATTAATACTATTAGTACAAAAATACTATAATATACACCACTAGATGTCGAGACCCGCCGAGGCGGGATCGACAGCTAGTTTCCTATAAAATTAGCAATTGCTATGACAATTAATAAAAGTCAAGGTCAAACTTTTGATATGATTGGAATTGATCTACGAAAAGATGTATTTAATCACGGACAATTGTATGTTGCGGTTTCACGAGTTAGATCTTGGGACTCACTCAAAATTTTTCTTGGAAGTCAACGAACATATAACATTGTTAAAAATTATGTATATACAGAGTTTTACAAATAATAATGTAAATTGTTATTATTTAATAAAACTTATTAATTGCTTAAAATTGAAGTTTTACATAGTTGTACAAATATTAAAGTACACAATTAAAAACAAGCGCGCTCAAGCGCGCGATCGGTCTCATAATGGTAAATTTATAATATAATTTTTTTATTTATTAGATGTACAGCACGATGGTCAGAGAAAACGATGCTGCAGAGTCGCAAACATCTCAACCATAACCGGTTTTGCAACCGATACAACAGCTACAGCAGAGGCCTGCTTATCTTCTAGATCTGACGACACAATTCCATCAACCGTTGCACCAAATACAAGAATTGCCACAGACGTCTTAGCAATAACGATCGCAACAAGCCCAAGAATTGCCATATGTCGTACCAGAATATTGAACTAATACGACAAGTGCAAAAGATGCCACAGCATCTCCAGGAACAAAGGTCATGGCAGCAATCTCAGCAGGTGCAGTTGACTCCACAACAACAAGAAGAACCACAGCAACAGTCTTTGCGGCAGCGACATCCGTTTGAGTATCAACAACAGCAGGATGAGACAAGACAGGAACAACGTCAAACGAATGTATGTTTTGTTAAATTATCTTTAATAATTAAATTTGAAATATTTACTGGATAATACTCTTGATTTATAATTATTATCTTTTGGTTTCAAGGATTGGAGGAGGGCTATACAGCAGTTGAGAAAGGACATGAACAGAGAATCGCAATCGCATAAGGAGGTTAGAAGCAGAGACAAGTAAATTGAAATTGGACCTTTGTGAGAGAGAGTGGGAGTTAGAGAGATTCAAAGACCGAAGTTGGGATCGATCAAGAGACGAGAGGCGGCGCTACTAACATTTTTACTTTTCTTTCTTTTTTTGTTCTTATTTTTTTTCATTAATTTTTGTAAGTTTTTTTTAAATTTTTTAATTGAAATTTATGTCGTTCAGTGTTTCTGTTGGTGCTGATAAGTTTACTGTACATGGGTAATTTAAGAATTAAATTAAAGAAAACTATTTTTCAGTGAGATGTTCTATTTGTCATTTTTTATCGTTTGATGAACATTTTATTGAAAGGAAAATTTACAAACGTGAAGCGTTTTGAGCTTTCAAAAATTATTTTCCATTTTAAAAAGGTGTTATAGTCAGCATATATATATATATATCCCCACCTGTATTGCTTCATATTTGACATGAGCTGCAAAACGTTTTATATAATTTTGATAATAAATTGTCACTCACACAAGTGATATAAAAGGTACAGTGAGTCTTTTATTAAATTGACCGTAACATTTTGGCGATCCTGCCAGGATAGCAACAAACGACGTAAAAATAATCTGTCAAACTGTGCTATCTTCGATTGTGAACATGTTTTTCTACGGAAAATATTAGAGTTTAATCAAAGGAGGAAAGGCTCCGTGGGAACTCTACGGATACCTTCGAGAAATTTGATACGTACCACTAATTGAGGTGTTCGAGTTTGTCGATCTAGACAATAAGATTTGAAAGAAGTCATCTTCTGGAGAAATTTCATCCAATTGGAGATCCAGGCAGATACGTCAGCCACCGACTTGTAGATATTTTGCAGCAGTGTCTACGGCCATTCTTTACACATCACAAGAATCCAGAAGAAGCAGATTACGTAAGAATAATTCAACGAATAATAAAAAATTGATTTATATTTCATTTACTATATGCTAGCTAGACTTCGCGTGTTAGTAAGTCTAAGTTTCCTTAATAAAATAAAACTATTTCTCTGAATAACCTTGTTGTAAGTGTGTAGCCACTTGATCAAGTGAAGAGAATTAAATACACTTATATTTCTTGTTACGCGAAACATTCCATTACACCCGACACAAAATAATTTTTATATACTGGCATATCACACTCATAGGGATTTAAAACACACAAATTATACATCTGACACAGACTCTGACTCGATTCACGAAAGTTTAAAAATGGAGAATGAACCAAAAACCACCCTTAATCCAACTGGAACAGCAAATACGGATCAGACTCTGTCAAAAATAGTAAAACAACTTTCAAGATTGAATATAGGAGTTACGAAATTACTTCGCGAAAATAATAATAGGAAGGATGAGATAGGAGAATTAGGAAGAAAATTAGGGTTTAATCCTATGGAAGAAACAGATAACGAATTTGAAAATGCATCCGAAAACGAAAGTCATTTTGGTGATAGAAAATCACAAGGTGAAGTTCAACCCTAAACAAATAGAATAAATGATGAAGGAATAATACAAAATCAAAATTTAGGAAAAATCGCAGCGAAAGATATAATCAGAACTATTAAAACATTAACAGGACAAGATGATTTTGGAGTTGAAGATTTTAATAAAAACATTAAAAGAGCAAAAAGACAATGTTACCAAACAGACCTATTATTAGATATTATAATTTCTGAAAAAATTACCGGAAACGCTGAAAGAGCAATACGGTACTTCGATATAGACAGTTATGCAAAACTTTTCGACGCTTTACGTGCAAATTTAACGCAAAACGGTTCAGTGATCAAAGTTATTAAATTGCAAACAAAATCCTACTGAAGACATTCAGAGTTTCAACAATAAATATAGAAAAATTTGTCACGAATTAAAATACGCAATTCAAGCAGAATATACAAACCCAATAAAACGACAAGTTGCAATAGAAAACGAAGAAAATGAAAAAATGACCGGACATATGACAAAAGAATGTACAACATCAGCAAATTTTCGCGACGGCTGGTTGCCAAAGAGACACGCGAGAATTTTTAGACTCTCAGGCAATGACCGAAGAAGAAATTCAACACCACGAGGATTACGAAAAGAATGCAGAATATCAACCTTGTATGGACGACTACAATCAGTATACGGAAGAGCTGATAATGGAGGAGAATACAGATTATTAATAGATTCCGGAGCATCAGTTAACATAATAAAAGAAAATAAAATACCCAGAAATATAAAAATTAATAATAAGTTTCTTTATTATAAAAAATATGAAAAAACATTGCGTTGTATAAAAAAATTTGATTTAAAGAATGCAAGAAATTTATTTACAATTATTATAAATAATTTATATTATTATTGACAAATAATTATAAATATTTATTATAAAATGCAGATACTTTAATTTTTAAATTAATTTATCAAATTACAAATTGACGATTTAAATGTCCACCATACATCTCGGTAAATTTAATTAATTAATTAATGATAAAAGCCATAAACATACGTTGATAAATGTTCAAAAAGTTTTTCTAATTATGTTACTTTTAATTGAATAATAATTTAATAAAAATTTGACAAGTCCAGAATTTTTTATAACGAGATTCAGTATTTAATAAATTTCATTTTTAAAGAATTACCTTAAATCGTTTTATATAGCTGCTAGTTTCACAAATAATATTAATATTAACATTGCAATATTATTTCAATGCCCTTTTAATTATGACACTAATTTAATAATAGAATTTAAAAATATTTCGTTGAAAACATTTTTAAATTTTCCCGCCATTCGTGTCAACTGATGACGACAAGGCTTGCAGCTTATAAAGACCCGAAAGTTACCCACCTTCAGGTCGTTGGTTAGGTTAGTTGTTAGGGTTCTTGGCTGTTGTGTTGCGCGTCCGGGTTCAATCCCCAGCTCCTCCAAATTTATTTCCGAAAATTGCGCCGTTAATGTTGGGGAAAAATAAAAGAAAGCGCAATAAGGGAAAAATAAATTTTTTTAATTTTACTTTTATTTAATAAATATTATAAAACATTTATAATAAACTTACCTTATAAAATTCACTGAAAACTTGCATTTTAATTTTACAGGAAATTTGTCTATATATCTTTAGAGTACTTTCCGGAGATAGTTTTAAAGAAATTCACAAAGCAAATTTCTGTAAAACTCAAAATTTAATATTTCCTAAACTTTTATCCACAATTTTTCGGCAAACTTAATCGGATAACTATCCTGAACTTCGCACCGCGAGTTATAAAACCGAGGACATATAGAGCTCGCCTGAACTTCCCCTGAAGCTCCCCAACTTAGTTTCCGAACTTAACACGGGGAACTCCCCGCGAACTCCCTGCGAAAAACGGTGCTGTCTGGGATACTAATCAACCCTTAGAAGTACCAAACAAAATTGAAGGATTACCTATAGAGAAAATTAATTATGACATCACAAACAATAAAATAACCATAAATAAAACAGCATTAAAATTTGAAACACTACCTAAACGACTTATAGAATTGAAAAATAAAACGAGATTAGATCATCTGGACAAAAATACAAAAGATGATATTTGGAGAATAATTGGAAATTTTCACAGTAATTTTACCTTAGATGATGATGACATTCCCTGCACTAATTTGACTAATCATAAAATTATATTAAAAAGTGGAAAAATAATCAACGTAACGTCCTACAGACCCCCTGAAATTCATAGAGAAGAAACTGAAAAACAGATAGCCAATCTATTACGAAAGAAAATTATTGAACCATCTGATACCCCATTTAACTCTCCTATATGGATAGTACCAAAGAAAAAAGATGCTAGTGGTGTACAAAAATGGCGTATGGTAATTGATATTAGAAAACTAAATGAGGATACAGATCAAGATGCATATCCTCTACCTGTGATTGAGGACATTCTTTCCAGTTAGGAAGAGCAAAATTCTTTTCAGCATTCGATCTGTCTGCAGGATTTCACCAAATTCTGATGGAAAAAGAAAGTCGAGAAATATACAGGATTTAGCACAACTAGAGGACATTATCAATTTATCCGAATGACATTTGGTTTAAAAAATGCACCAGCCACCTTTTAAAGAATGATGGATCGCGCTTTTCAAGGATTAATTGGTGATGTATGTTTTGTATATTTAGATGACATTGTTATTTTTGGATCTACTTTAGAAGAACATAATAAAAATTTAATCAAATTCATGGAAAGAGTTAAAATATTGGGATTAAAATCACAACCGGATAAGTGTGAATACCTTCGACCAGAATTAGAATATTTAGGACATGTTATAACTGATAAAGGAGTAAAACCAAATCCTCTAAAAATACAAGCAGTACAAAATTTTAAAGAACCAAAAAACGTGACAGAAATACAATCATTTTTAGGACTAGTAGGATATTACAGAAAATTTATTAAAAATTTTGCTCATATAGCCAAGCCATTAACAAGATTAACAACAAAAGAAACAATTTTTGATTGGACAAAAGACTGCAGTACAAGCTTCGAATTACTAAAGGATTTGATGTGCAAATCACCAGTATTAAAATATCTAGATTTTAATAAAAGATTTGTTTTGACAACGGACGCAAGCAATGTAGGAATAGTAGCTGTTCTTTCTCAAGATGGACATCCTTGTTGCTATATTTCATGAGTATTAAATAAAGCAGAACAAAATTATAATACTACTGAGAAAGAATTATTGGCAATCGTGTGGGGTACAAAAAGGTTAAGACAATATTTATTAGGACGGACATTTACTATTCAGACAGATCATAAAGCATTAATTTGGTTGCATAACGTAAAAGATCCTAGTTCAAGATTATTAAGATGGAGATTACGCTTAGAAAAGTTTCAATATGATATAGAATATGTTAAAGGAAAAGAAAATAAAGCAGCTGACTGTCTTTCAAGGTTATTTCCAATACAAGACGAGGACAGTAAAAAAGACACATCAGCAGAAAATTCAAAAGACGACGAACTTAGTTCAACAGAAGAAGACTTGTCACCCGATATGCAGAGATTGAATGACACTCCACAAACGAGCTATAATAAAAATGACATTATGACCGAACAACATAGCGAAACAAATGTTTTAACACAATATTTTGAAGACTGGAAAAGAAATAAAGAAATTGGAAACGTTACAACTAAACCTAATGCTCAAGGAAAACTATGGAAAACAATATTAAAGAAAGATTTACCCCCATTCAATAAAGAAAACTGGTTAAAATATTTTGAAGATCGAGTTAAAGAATT